AGTTATCAAACAGCGCATGCAAATGCACAACTCGAAAGTTATGTACAAATCAATGATGGATTGTGCTAGATACGTTTATCGAAGTGAAGGTCTTAGCGCATTCTACGTTTCTTATCCTACCACCCTATCTATGACAGTTCCTTTCACTGCTCTCCAATTCCTCGCATACGAATCCATGTCGACTTTCATGAACCCAACTAAAAAATACGACCCATGGACCCATTGTTCAGCTGGTGCGGTTGCAGGAGGTTTCGCGGCTGCTCTCACAACACCCATGGATGTGGTTAAGACTTTATTACAAACCAGAGGAACAGCGACTGATGCGGAATTAAGGAATGTCAGTGGTTTTGTGGAAGGATGCCGGGTTATTCATAGAAGAGCAGGATTCGGTGGTTTCTTCAAGGGTGTTAAACCAAGAGTGGTTACCACTATGCCTAGTACCGCTATTTGTTGGTCCGCATATGAGGCTTCCAAGTGAGTATTTTTATGATTTTGAATTTTGAATCTGGAATTAAAACTAACAACAACACTAGGGCTTATTTCATCAGGCAAAACGATGCCGAACTTTGAATACTTTGGTTCAATATTCCCCTTAATGAGCGAAATCCGACTGCGGCTATGCGATACCTACCACACGAAGGCATTTTAGCCGGAAATAAAATGCAATCACATGATATGATTCTGTGCTTGTGAAAGCGACTGAACACGATTTACACCAGTTGAGCTTTATATGATGTATTAACCTATCATGTCAAGCTTAACGTCAATGTTTGCGAGTAACGAATGGATCAGTACCGTCAGCCGATCTGTACATAGAACACCTTTTTCCTTTTCTCTTTCTTGCTCTTAGATCTCTTCGTTTTTTGATGGTACATGATATGCGTGCATGCATGGAAGTTTTTGATGGAATTCTTTGGGAAAAGTCATCGAACACAGGAGGCATCATCGATGATGGGGATGTTTGTGGATGAACTTTGACTGGCGTTCATCTAGCGATGGATGGATATGCTAGGTGGGAGGGTGGATGGGGTTTAAAATGGAGGGGAATGGGGAAGAATACAGCTGGATGAAAATCAACTTTAGAATGAATGGTCGGTCTGGGTACTTACCCGATAGATTTATCGTGGAGTGTTGGCAGTGTGTATTTTTACCGAAAGAAAAATCAAGTGGAGTGAAGAGTGAAGAAAGGAAAGTACAAGACAAGAGAAAAAATTTTCCCGCTGCGGCTCCAAATTGTGATGTGTGACGTGATCAGTGGAGATTGTGCGTGGGATTGTTATAACAAATATAGTTTGTTGTGTCTTCGAGTGTGAAATCTTCGAGTGGGGAGGGTCTGAGTTTTCAATTGTTTGATATCAGAATTTGTCTTTTGAATGTTCAACCTCCAACAAAACATTATAAACATTCCTAGGATATTCCAATCGATATATTAAGAGATGTTCTAAGTTCATTCTTGGAGTGAGTGTCCCAACAGTCCGTACACCGACTGGTGGAACGGCGGAAGAGGAAAGGAGAATAGAAAATGTTCCAAGCTCTTTCCTGAGTACACCCACGGGGCGTAGAGGTGGAAGCGGAAGTGTGGAGTTACTGGAGAATAGGATGGACAAGTGTTTATTTTGGTGTTTCTAGTGGACATCTTGATGCTTAACTGGGTAGGAAGGGGTGTGGGATATTTGTACTTGGATGGTTAGATCAGATCAGGGCAAGTGAGGTCAGGTTCGGTCAGGCTGGGTATGGGATAGAGAGGATCTACGGAAAAGCCATCATGTATCGAGGGGGAAACAGATGGGTCTTTAAAAGCGAGGAAGAGAAATTGGAGGTGGGGGATCGGGGTAGGGGCTCTGGTAGTTCGGGGTATCTATATATAAATGGCGGTGTTTGAGGTGTGGATGCTATGGTCTTCTTTGCGATCTTGAGGGACTACAGTTGATGGATGACGTTAATTTTTTTCTGGAAACGTTCACTCACTGTTTATCTTTTCATTTACTTTTTTTGTTTTCATCATACTTTTCCCTTTTTACCACATAAGACGGTGATTTATATGAGTTGATGTGAAAATATGGCAAGTAGCTATATATCCCGAATGACTAGGCGAATAAACAAATCATCTTCCTTCCTAAATTCGAATCTAGTTGAATTTGCCCATCTTTAGAAAAGAGTGAATCTTATGGATTATGACACTCTGGGGATACAACGAATGGGTTAGGGATCATCCATATTGGATATGTATGAGTTCTGTTGATTCGAAGGTTGGCCTTAAAATAGAAGATGGAATAACGTATAATGGACTCATTCATACTTACGACTATGAAATCGAACCAAAGATGACCTGACGATATTGTTACCGAAATTCACATGTCTGAGACTCATTGCGCATGCATTTTTTGTTTACTTAAGGGTTTACTCTCCTTTATTCATGCTCTTGATTCCACCTCTCTTTATCCACGTCAAGATTAAAAATTTCCTCAACATTAACATCAAAATCAAAATCAACGTCAAATCATTTCCAATATTCGATTCGATATACAAGCTGAAGCCAAATAAAGTTCGAAGTATTGTCGAACCCACCAAATCGAAAAATGTCATCTCACTCGCGTTCAAGCTCCGTCCAGACGCACTCCAGTTCAGGCGCCGGCTTGGATCGAATGTTCTTCAGAGTAGACTCAAGCCAAGCTTCTACCAGATCAGGCTCAAGTCGTTCGTCAGTGAGCTCAAATCCAAGTCGAGTATTCTCTAACCCAGGCTCGAGCCGTTCGTCAGTGAGCTCATACTCAAGCCGCACATCTGGCAGCTCGGTCTCAAGTCAAGAGTCTTATGGCTCAAACTCAAGCGGAAGGTCATCCAATTCAGGCTCAATCCAATCAACGGATAGCGGATTAGAACCTCAGATAAATGGCTGGTCTGGACCGCGGTTTAAGCAACGTTCACGCGTAAAAGTATATGCTGATATGAGGAGTGATCAAATGGAAAGGACGGCTAAGGCAGAGAGAAAAATTCAGTCGGAGATGAGGAAGAAGGAAGGTTATTACATTGAGGATCCTGAGGCATAATGTGTATTTGTGAAGGATAATGGAAGGTATTTAGACCTGGAAACTAGAAATCGATGATATTACATAACCTCCAGACCTCGAGTCGTCTGCTGGGTGTTGTTTAAAGAATTGTGAGGTCGATTCATAGATGTCGATTCAACTAGTGACTTGAATTTATGACTGTGTATACTGAACTAGTTTCCAAGAATCATAGATTATGATTATTCATATCAGAAGAAGATGCGTAGCGAGGACTCGTGAATCTCTCAGCACCCGTTTACTAACGGGTTGAGTTCCCGCTTGTTCGTACCGCCGATTATACTTCTCTTTATCCTTGACATCAATATCAAGCTTCTCAATAAACATTCAGATCGATAATCGAACCAACACTCGAAAGACTTCAATACATCCATCTTCAAAACGCATTACAATATCCACCTCAGCATCGCATCAGAACCAAAACCAACGTCGGATCAATATTAAAGCAACTCGAAAGTCATCATCTAGCCCGATTTCAAGATAAAAATACGATCCACTCCAACCGACCTCGGATATACTTCAAATACAATTTTTCGTTATCCAGTTTTAGTTCAAAGATGCCTTCCAAAACAGACCAAGCAAAGGCAGACTCGAGAACCCATGTTCAAGGAGGAGAAAGAGCTCCTACCCAGGAACACGGTGAGTTGGAGGTAAAGAAAGGAAAGGAAAAAGTCGGAGAGGGAAGGAGTATAATAAGAGACATTGGAAGTAGTGGCAGTGGAGGTGGGAACTGGTATAGAACTATGGCAAATAAAGATAGAGCGAAAAGACTCGGAGATAATATCTACCATGAATTGATATTGAGTACGGCTCACTCAGAATGGAAGCATGAGAAATACACAGATGGGCAGGAAAGAGATAAGATACAAAAACAAAGGATTGTGATTGTTGAGAGAAAGGCAAAGAAAATAGAGAAACGAGAGGCACTAAAGCGCCGTGAAGATAGACATCATATGGATAGACATCCCCGGGGTGTTTGAGCCTCTGAGTAATGAGTATGGGAGTAGCTTGACTGCACTTACGGAGCAGCTGTGAACAAAATTTAGACACAGGAAATTCACATCGATGATATTACATAAACTGAATTTTTCATGCCATCTTTAGGTGATGCTCAGAAGGTTATTGGAGCAAGTCATGGCTCTCTCGATGATCTTGCAACTACTCACATTAAATATCAGTGTAGAAGGTTCGTGGATTCATGATTCCTCATATTGAGAATGCGTTCCAGAATAAACTTACAGAAGGAGCAGTAAAGAATAAGGGAATTCGATTGTTGCTAAACAATATAATGCTTCGATCTCACTTGATCACTCGATCACTCGAGAATCATTAGAATCATTAGAATCATTAGAATCATTACTACCAAACCAAAATAATACTAATTCAACAACACTTGGCTGAACTGTTGATTACCTTTACAAGCATCATTTTTACTTCTATTATTCTTTCAAATTAGAAGAAATAAGACTTTCTTAGTATTTTAGACTTAGATATTACTACATTCATGTTTTATATGAATATTGTATGTTGAAAGTATCAGTTTCCCGCGGGAGGGGGGCTATTGCCTAATTGGTACTAGCGCCAATTTGTAAGGTAGTTACGCCTCACGAAGGGCACAACCATATTCCAGCTCTCTTTAGTCAAACAACAACACGATAAACTATACCCACAACTCAACTAATTCATTTCCCACTGCAACCATATCTCAATGTTGCATTGTTTATTGAATATCCCACAATGGTGCCACAATAGTGGTGAATGGTTCGATCAGCGTTGATCTGATCTTACTTGTTGGTGGATCTTTTTTTCAAATTTGGTTCTGGATATTGGAAATTTCCCAGCAGGCAGATCAATCATCTTCACGCGCATATTTTATAATCTCAATATACCTTGGTGGAGGTTCTTTGATTAATACTGTATTCGGTATTATCAATGCTGGATGGAACCTGGAGAGAAAATTGGCACTTGCAGCAAGCATTTGCTCCACCTTTTTCCGGTTTATTCTCTTTGTGCGATTTATTAAGACCAGTACACAAAACTTCAGTTTGGAGAAAGTGGGAACCTCCAAAGACACAAGCAAAACCGAAAACCCCAGAGATGGAGGAGTGGGAGATGGAGAAGTGGGAGCGGGAGGAGTGGGAGCGGGAGACGGAGAAGTGGGAGAAGGAGAAGTGGGAGAAGGAGAAGTGGGAGAAGGAGAAGTGGGAGAAGGAGAAGTGGGAGAAGGAGAAGTGGAGAAGGAGAAGTGGGAGAAGGAGAAGTGGGAGACGGAGGAGTGGAGACGGAGGAGTGGGAGACGGAGGAGTGGGAGACAGATGATTAATTCTATCTTTGTCTACTTAAAGTACGGCTTCTTTCGATCTTTATTTCTTTTCTTACATCTACATATCAACATTCGATATTCGATCGACAACTTCGAACTTCACACCAAGGACGAGCTGCTTAATATGTCAAGTTACCAACCTTAAGCCCGGTATTCCTTTAACTGCCAAGACAAGGAAGTCGAAGAATATCTCGTACATACGATTATGGAAATCCACGTAGCCAAAGTCTCATCGGAGGAGAGGATCAGCCATATCAATACCATCACAGATATGCCTATCCCACTAGCGAAGGATCAGTTCAAGAGACCGTAGCCCAAGAAACCCAAAGAATTGAGAACAGCTGGGGGGAAAGATGCGTATGACAGATATTTGAAAAGTGGAAGTCAGATAGACAACATTGGATCTGGAACAGGCGACTTTTCAAGAATAGGCATGTCATACCGTACACCGGTAAGGGATACGTGATCAAGAAATATTTGGGAAAGTGAAATGGGAAAGCAAAATGATTTAGGAGGAAGGAAAGATATCTATTAGAGGGTAGAATAGAGAGGCAGGTATCCGATTTGATGAAGCTATAGCGAACAAAACGAGGTTGGAGATATAGAACAAGTGGAAATCAAGGGGTAGTGATTGTTCTTTAGGCCTATGAATCAAAAGCGTTGATGTTACACAGTTGTGTCTATGATCATACAACTACAACAATGGACTTGTGTATATCTCTTGAAGTATCGGATGGGATATCTTGGAACTTATTTCAATCATTTATTAGATATGAAAAAATCAAAACATAAGTTTTGATATCAGACAATTGAATAATGAATTTATTAAATTTTTTGAAAGTTGGGAAGTGTCCCGTCAATCCATGTACCCACTAATGGTTTAAATAATTGCAAAGTCATTATATAATAACAAATAGCTTCCTGGAAATCATCTCATGACTGTCGAAGTTATTTTATATATGATTCACAAATCAATAGAGCAAAAAATGGATTTCAAAAGCTCAAGGATAAGGGAAAATGTTGTGTAGTTGTAATATCATCGATTTATTATCCAAGAATAACTGCCATTTCTCAATTCCATCATTCATTCTTGAACACAGTACTTGTTGCTCTCCATTACATGTTCAAACCCCTTCATTGCGTTTAAATACGATGCTCTTCTGCATTTTCCATTCTCATGTAGCGATCCAACGATCTTGTCCTGGTCCGAAAAATGGCTAGTGACCTTCGCCTTTCCAACATGTCATCACTGTTTACTATGGGTCGTTCTGGAGGACAAGCTATTGCCCATGGATAATCAAGCTTTTTGGAATCCCCCCTGAGGCATAGAAGCTCGTCCGAATTTGAATCGTAATCATAGAATTGGTAATGCGACAAAAAATAGGGAGGAGGTCGGCATGCAAAGCGTTCTGGAATGCGTAGAACCCAATGAGAGCTTGGTGCCACATACGCCACAGATAGAAAAAAATTTTCCTCGGGCTGACTGAGGGGTACCAAATCAGAATCATATCGTTGACGATGAGTTTCATGATGCTCATGATGATGACGTGTATTATTTGGATATACAAAAATGGGATGAGATGGTGGTGATGGTGATGGTGAACACGATTGGTATTGACTCTCGCGTTGATTATTGGGCGCAGGTTCCTCATCCGACTGCAATGTTTCCGTAGACCACGTATCGCTGTCAGCGGGTTCCTGGTCTGTGTAATGATCTTCTTCACTGATCTGAGTTTCGAGTTCGACGGACAAAGTCTGAGACGTGGTATCTGATCCTTGATCAGCGAATGGCGCTCGGGCTGGGTGATGATTATTTACTCCATGGAATGACGTGCTAGATGGGCCGTCAGGAGACGTAAAATCCTCAGAGCAATCGTCAATTTGCACGATGGCCCTTTGCTCTTTGGGTTCTCGAGGAGTCTCTTTTAGATTTGTTTGTCCATCTGGATTACGCGTCATTGTATTGGTATGGTATGGTATTGATGTGGATTCTGGATGTTGATGAAAAGTTCTGGTTTTGATGGTTGTTGTTAATGAAGAGAAGCAGAAATCAACAGCATCCGGAGGGATGTTGAACACTTAAGTGAACAAAAGCCAAAAGATTTATGACTCCGCAAACTGTGTATACGTCAAGTATGAATAATCGAAACTGATGAAGTCATATACACTTCACTGTTGCAACAAGCGCAAACGTGTAATATCAATGACTCGAATTTCTATGACTGATCTCCTGATTTCATCACGTTATCTCGTACCTTTTTCACATATCCATTCCTTCTGCTTCTACTACTTCTTCCTTATCGGCTCTTTGTTTTCATTTCTTGTCCTTTCATTGCTCTGGTTCCGTCTTCGTGTTTTCCACTGCCTAGATTCTTGCGCCTCGAGATTCTGGTTGAGAAGCTGGGTCAGATATCGAATTTGATGTTGATGGTCGAAAGTGTTGATCTTGATGCAGAAATTTGAGGTTGAGGGAGGGAAATGCAAATCGGTGACTTTAATACACTCAATTTCATAGTTAACCTAGCTTCTAGAATGTGGTTTTGTAGTCTTATAATCTTTTTGATGAAAACAATTAATAATAAACTTCTAATTTTATTAATATAATTTTAAAATCAAAAATCTCTGAAACACGACTGAAATCTTCGTTTTGCTGCACGGTTATACACACAAATTTGTAACATCAATGCTTTTGATTCATAATCCTAAAGACTATTCAACACTCCCCAATATCCACCAATTCGATATTCCTAATTCTACCTTATTTGTTATGTCCTCCTATCAAATGAAACATTTTTCCCCCGTTTTACATCATTTTGACTTCCCATTTCACTTTTTCATGCACCTCTTGTCAGCGCACTGTCTGATATGCTTAATCTATCCCTATCATGCCTTCAATTTTTTCTTTATATCTCTCCGGCTCCGCTTCTCAAGAATCTTCTGTACGCATCATTTCCTTCAGCTGTTCTAAACCTAGGTATTTGAGCTCCCCGAGCACCAGTATATTGATCTGGTCTCGCAGTACTCGTGTAATCATTTCTATGGTGCATAGATGGCAAGCCGGGATCCGTTTGAAATCTAGCGGCCGGTGTAAAAGTGCTTTGACTCCGGAGGGGTGAGTAAGGGGGCGAAAAGAGAGGACGTTGACGGCTAATTCTAATACGTGGTGGAGGCGATGGGGGCGGTGATGGAGAGGGTGTTCGATACCGACGTTGTGTAGCATAAGCTGCGGATGAAAATGGGCGTGGTAGATTTGACTGAGACGCGGCTCCGGAGTATGGACCATGAGGCGAACTACCATTGATGGGTAGCTGTTGAGGCAAGAGTGGAACCTGATTATCTCTTCGAGGCGTGACTCTAGAACATGAATTACCAGTCGATCTACGGTCGAATCTTTCATGTCGAGGTGGTACATCTCGTGAGCTGTTGTTCTATGGTTATGCCGCTGAACTCGATGTCTAGAAGTAGATCCGGTATGTAAAGCTTGAGATGGTTCGCCAAGGCTTCGATCAGCAGACTCATCTCTTCGATCTGCGTATCTGTCGTTTTCTGCCCGAACTGTAGACCTACCATCATCACTGTCGATAATGTCCAGCCATCTTTCAATTGTACTATTGCCAGACATTTTTGTTCTCGTTTCAATACTGTTTTGGATATTAGTTTGAAATGTGTTGTATGTAGAAAGTCGATTCGATAAAGTTGTCAAATTGTACCATAAAGGATGTGTTGTGGAAACAAAACTCAATATTGATGAAGTTTCGAAACTATGTATGTTAAGTGAAGTAAAAGGAATATCGAGAAGAAAAAAGAAGAAAAAAGAGGAAAGAGGTCTCCTACCTACCTAAGTTTTATACTTTATGACTCTCCGAAATGCATAATTCATAAATATGAATGGAATGATTCAGGAATTGACTGAAAAATTGTAAAGTGATAATATCATTGATTCTGATTCCTAAGCCTGACAACTATTCATCATCCCCCTAGTTTCTTGTTTCATTACACTCCTAGACACCTGCTAATAACATCCCAGCCCTGTGATTCATTTCTATCCTCCACTAACCTCGCTGTTGTCTTTCCTACTATCCAAATTCTCCCTGTTACCCTCCTGCCTTCCCACTTGCATTTATTTTTCGGAATTACATTTTTAATCCACTTAAACGCATCTCCAATACTTGCATATCTTCTTCCGGAGTCTCCATTAGGCTTGTCTGGTTTAATTCTTTATTCACAGAGTTTCCACAGCTGGTGAACGGATCACCTCTATCGAACCTCTTATTTGCAGCTTTCTGGGCACCTTTGCGAACACTATACGGGGCTGATCTTGAACTTCTATGCCGTAAAGATGATGAACCCGGGTACATTTGGCTTCCACGGAGTGTAAGAAGGGAATGAAGTTCTTTGACGACTGGAGTAGGAGTCACCGGTGTCACAACAACTGTAGGGGGGTAATTGGGACGTCAGGACTGGAGATCGAGGTGGTGCATTCTCGTGATTTTTGACTTTAGTGTGTGTATTACAGGCCATATGACGTTTGTGCACACCGTTTGAAGACGAAAGCGCTGTATCTCGCTGATGTCTGCCTCTTAACCTTGAGCTGTTAGACAGAATCTGGTTATTACGCTTAGGAAGAGGTAGGTGCTGACCAGGCATGATTTGTTCAGGTCGGGCCATGGGAAAAGAGCTAGTAGATAGAGCATAGTTCCCGTACCCGCGGCCACTTGGGGATGGACTGGGTGGATCCTCTTGTCTTTCTCGCCAACCGCCTTGTTGTGGTTGATCCATTCCTACGGAGCTTCGACTTTCTCTCGCTTCAACACGGCTTTCGGGATTATTTCTTGTGAGCTCCCAGGCGCCAGACATGTCTCGGTTGCGTTGTTGATTATTGTTTTGAAGGTAGTTTGGGCTGTGACGCTACAATATCCGGGTTCAAATCAAAAACTTAAAGTTAGTGAAGTTGTGAGGTTGGCATGGGTGTAGAAAAGCAGACCAGAAATTTTGGACAATCTGCACTCTTAAGTAGCTAGAATCTACTTAGTCTATGAGTCCCTGGACTGCATTTTGAGAATCATGGTAAAAGAAATTGCATGATTCGGTAAAATCTGCAAATGATGACTCGAGAAAATGACTCAAAACCTGACTCGAAAGAGCTTTTGAGGATGGGAAGTTGTAATGTCATCGATTTTTGAGTTCTAAGTCTAAGTATTATGTATGATTCCTTTATGAGCGTATTCCTGCCATATCCCTTAATCCCTGCGATCAACATCCTCAACTCGCCATCTATCACTCGCTTCATGATTTGCTCTTCTGATAACGCCGCAGCTCTTATCCTATGTGTCTTGCTGACTAATCAAATTTTCCTATTAATTAATACCTATCTCCTTATCTTGTTCTTCTCTCATAATATTCCGCAGGCCTATGAATCGCTTGATCGTACCTCGCGCTTGCACCTGCACTGGGTCTGTCTGTTCTGGCAAAAATGATGTTTTTTGGATAATTTTGATTCGGCTTCAGATGCGCATTAAGACTGTAAACTGCGTCCCTTTCATTATTACAATAAAATAGTAAGTAGTAATTTGACAGAATCTTAGCGGAGGGAGGTGGAATGCGTGTTGCATCAATCGTGGTAGGATGGAGTGGAAGCGAATGCGTCGCACCAGAATTCGTATATCGAGTCGTTCTCACATGGTCGCCAATGTGTACAGGTTGAGGATGGTACGCTGGTGTTGTATGTCGGGAGGATGAGGGTGCGAAACCATACCCAGAATTTTGGGAAGGATGATATGGTGGAGCTATTCCGTATCCCTGCTGCGCACGTATAGATCGAGTGCCATGTTGCGTATCGTATCTAGTTTCACTCGAAGCATACGGATATTGAGATTGGACATCAGGAATCGAGTCATATGGATCGATGTAGACAGGTCCTGAGCCTCGATGCGGCTGATCTTCTCCCCCCATGGGACTTAGACTACGCGGATTTCTATGATCATATGTGCGAGACATTATTCGACCTGTTCCTTGTCTTGGTAGTGAAATGAATGCCGGACTTGAGGTTGATGACCGGATGTTTCTTAAACGGCTTGGTTTTGGTGTAAACTTTGATATTGTTGATCGAAGATTGAATTTTGATGTAGAGGTTCGAAATTGAAATGGATATTGAAAGAAGTCGAGCTTTAAGTAGCCAAAAGCTATATATTTTATGAGCCATTGAAACTCATATTCAACATGAGTAATCATGAATCCATGAACCTTTTATATTCTTTTTACGGTAATAACCCCATATAACAGCATTTCATGTATTAGTACCTCGATTAGTAAAAATGATATTTGGGGTCTAGTATGTACTAGTTCAGATTGTTTTATTTCTTCAAATAGTGATTTTCTAGTCCTATTAAAATAATGATATTTGGGTTTAAAAAGAGAAGAAAATGAGGCTTCTTGAATGAATTTTCATTTTGTGTGAATCTTTTGAATCTTTTCATTAATTGAACTCGAGTCATTTCATGTCGAACTTAATGAAACGGAATCATTACTCATTTCAATAGTATATGAATCTCAAGGCTCAGAAATTTTGCCCTCGATTTGGATACTTAAACGCTCAACTGCCCATTATTTTCCAGCTTTGCTTTTTCCTTCTCTTTTGAATTTCAGCATCAAGAGTTCCATCGAAAACAAGACTTTCAAAATCAACCATAACATCAAAACCAATATCCAAGCGAAACATGCCTACAGTAGAAGAGTCCTTCAGGCCTAAGGGTGGAGACTACCCAAAATCAGTACAATCTGCAGCCTCAAAAGTGCCAACTACGAGATCCAAATCATCCACACGTCGATCTTCTAAAAGTGCAACAACTTCACCCAGACGACTTACACCTCAAGATCCGAAGACTCAAACAACCAATACACTTGTGGATGACTATAACAAGAGAAGACGACCCGGCGCTACCGGCACGCATGCACAATCCAGCAGTGGATCTGTAGCTTCAAGTAAGCCAGGCCGACTAGCGAGGCTTCTCAAGGGCCTTTCCAGCAGCGGTAAGGGTTCAGATAGCCAGCATAGAGCCCCCAGATCAGCAGCTTCCAGCTCTAAAGCTCCTGCCTCTGTGCATGCGTCCGAACGTGGACCCATGGATTCCAGTAACATGCATCTACAAAGATTATCAGGCGCTCCTGAATTCCCAAATGATCAAAACGCCCGTATAGAATCATGGCGCGAAGCTGTAGTTCCATATAAACATGAACAAAAAGCTTTGGTGCCATTTGAGCAACCGAGAAATTCGGCATCTACAATCAAATATCTACAGCCCGATAACCGTGTAGTTTTGTTTAAGCCATCTGAAGAAGCTGCATCCTGCAGCGCTCTAGTTTTGCATAGAACAAAGGAAAACCAACAATCTTCATCCGTCCTGCGACGTGACGATCACGCAACTCGAGTTGCACGTAAACATCACGCCAAATCGAGATCGGAATATAGTCAATCGCGTTCTGGCAGGTCATCCAGAAGTTCTCGTGCTCTGAGTATAGATGGAAATCGCAGTGAGAGGCAAGAACGACCGCGACGAAGACAATCCTCTCATAGGTCCAGCACTCGACCTGAACATCCACCTCCGCCTCCACAATTTCAAGGTCCTCGGGCTCCGGATCAACCTCCACCAGGACCAACATCTGCTCCAAGATATAGAGAAAGAGCGCCACCAAGACCGCTACGTGAATCTTGCATACCACAATCTCTCACAGAGCATCTACAGAGACCACCACCTCCTTTGTCTTGCACATCACCCATTTGTTATCCACAAGATGGAATTCCAGATTTTGAAAGAGAGAAATTAGTTACAACGCAAAGGCTTGTTGAAGCTACTGAGCAACTTCGTGTAGAAATGGAGAGACACAACGATAACGCAGAAGCTATGCGCTATCAGACCCCCATGTACTTTGGTGGATTTTCGTTTCTTCCAACCTTTAATAATCAGTGAGAGGTGGTTAGGTTAGTTATGCTAAGATGTATTGTGGAGGAATAGGATTTCATATACCCGAAGGAAGGAATAGGATAAGAAGATCTGTGTTCCAAAAGTTACAATCTATGATATTTTATACCCAATTGCACTTGCCACACGAGCTGATGTGATACTTCAATACATTCATAGTCCATTTCAAATTCATTTTAAAATGTGTACGCAAACCTCAACTTGAGGGTCCAAAGTAAAATATTTGTATTCTTTTCGTATAATTCTGCCACTTGATATTAGGTATATTGTATCCTATAACCCCAATGCGATATACAAATGCAGACCCATCAATAGCATTTAAGATATCATAACCGTGACCTTCATACCATGTAACTCCCATTTTCATTTCCATTCCAAATTCCCCCCTAATTTGTACAAACCCTTCGACAAAAGGTAGATCAGTAGTCGAACTGCTCAATCATCATCGCTGCTCTCCTCACTACCCAGAAATGCCAAATCATTCTTTCTTCTAGCCCTAACAGAAACCTCCATGTCCTCATCATCGTCATCATCCTCATTCTCTTCGTCAATATTTTTAGTACTGCCGCTCTTGCTTTTGTCATCATCATCATCATCATCATCATCATCATCATCATCACTGATCTCACTCTTCTTCTTGTCCTCTTTAACACCACTCCCACTTCTTCTAGAACTTCTTCCCATTCCCCATGCTTTCTCGCCCTCCTTTACTGCTTCCAAGTCTGCCTGTAATTCTCTCATCTCCTTAATTTCTCTGGCTCTGCCTTCGCTAAAACGTCCAGTCATACCAATCTCCGTCAGCATGTTCTTTAAGTGCTTGATTTTCTCATTTTCTGTTTCATATTTTTTCAACTCGAAAGCCCAAATTTTGCGAATTCCACACTTGACAAGTTGCGATTGAAGTGTTTTAATCAACTGTTCGTTGGGTGTAAGTTCTGCCGTGGTCTTGGCCTTCGCGGCTTTAGGTTTCGCAGTCTTTGTTGTTTTAGAGGGCTTGGACGAAGTAGATTTGGACTTTTTGGCACGAGATTTAGTGGTTAAAGGTCCATCAAGAACGACAGACATGTCAGATGAGTCAGATTCGTTGCCCGCGGCGTCTTCTGTTTTTGGGAGAGAGGATAAGGATGAATCGCGGATCTTTGGAGACGAGGGTTTAGGAGATTTTGCCTCGGGTTGAGTGATCGATTCAATATCAGATAATTCGGAGCCAGAAGTTACCGCCTCTTTCGCTACTGGTTTCTTAGTCTTCTTGGATGCTACCTCATCTTCATCGTCGCCGATTTCATCATCTGAATTAGCTTTGGCAGTCTTGTGAACTTGCTTCTTTGATTTCGCTTTTGGCTCGTCTTCGCTCATTTCGGAACCAATATCTGATAACTCTGATTCCGCGGGCTCGGAAAGTTCAGATTCAGAAACGGGGGTTTTCTCTTTCTTTTGTCTCTTTGGAGGGGGTGCCTTCTTTTCGGCAGAAGATCGTTTCGTTGGCTTCGCAGCAGGTGTAGCTTTTTTGTCAGGGGTTTTCTTGATATTCTTTGCCTTCACAGGCTCTTCCTCTTCCTCTTCTTCATCTCCTTGCATCAATTTGTCCTGCAGTTGATGATTAGGATTGATTGTTAAACCAAATAGCTGTAACTCAGAGTGAACTTACAACTTCGCCCTTAATAATTCCCTTGCTTTTTTCCTTCCACTTTCCTTCATTTAAGAAACCATCCCCCAATTCGTATTCTTCTTCTACTTTTGTTCTAATGAATCGTACACTTAATTTATCTTTCTCGTCGCTGTGGAATACATCGCGAACAGTCTTGGAGAGTGCGCTCGTCAAAGCTTTATCGGAAAGTGGCATTTTGTATACAGAGATGAAATTATGACTTGAGCATTTGATAATGAAGGATGGTAAAAATTTAGATTGGATTCTACCAGCTTGAAAGACTAGAAAGTATTCTTTCAATAATTCTGATCAAATCGCGTCGCGTGTGTATCGAGCTTTTTGGATCGTCATTCAGTGAGCGTTGAAGTAGGGATCATGAACGCTTTAAGTAGAAGGCGGTGGATGGCAGAAATTGTTAGCTAAAAAGTTAGTGTTGACCACCAGTGGGTGTACGGACTGACGGGACACTGAAAAAATGGACTTGTGAATATCTTTTGATATATTAAATCATTTATTCTAGGAATTGTTACAATTGTTGATTAGAGATAGAACAATCAAAATGTAAATTTCAATATCAAATAATTGAAGAATGAATTTGCTAGAAATACTAGGTAGGTATCGAAAGTTGGAAAATGTCCCGTCAATCCATGCATCCACTGGTGCACCCATGCCACTGATTGAACCAACCCGATTTATATCAACTTCCTCAAAAGTATCTCTTGCTTCACACACGGCATAATTCCCGCATTCCAGTAGACATTTTCTGGTCTTCTCACTCCCTCCGGAAACTTTAATTCGTAACCCTCCAGTATTGCTCCTACAACAAGTTTGATGACGGCCCCCGCGTACCATCTTCCAGGACATGTTTGTCTTCCATTTCCCCATGCTAGATTACCAGGTTCTATGCCTGTGAATTCTTGGAGAGGATTGGAATTGCTTGTCTGTGTTTGGGCGAGCGATTGGTAAAAGCGAGAGGGGTTGAATGTGGAGGGGGAGGAGGGTCCGGTGTAGTATGTGGGATCGCGAGATAGTGAGGAGGCAGCCATGGATATGAAGGTCCCTCTTGGGAGATACAGCCCGGTGGAGAGGGTGTGCGGCGTAAGGACTATGCGGTCGAATGAGACTAGAGGAATTTGTTAGTAACACAGTATGTCCAAGTGGCTGAGATACACGTACGAGCATTAGGTTGATTATATCGCATAGATTCTTTCATGAAACTATCCAATTTCCTCAATTTGCCCATGCCGGAAATTTTCCATAATCCATCATCTTCTTCCAAGGCACCTTTGATTTCAGCACGCAAGTCAGGGATGTAGGCGGGTCTCTCGCAGAGATCATATAGTGTATGGACTGCAACCATTGTAGATGTGTGTAGCTATTTGGTGTCTGGTCAGCTTGTAAAATGAACGATTAAAAATTGGAACGGAGATTAGGAACTAACTGCAGCAGAATTCAAGACTAAAAGCTTCAAAATGATATCCTTTGGATTGGCAACTTCCGATGTTGAGATGAGAAATCCTAATAGATCATTGGCTTCATGGCCTGGCTTTTGTCTCTCCTGTATAGCTGGTCCTAAAATTTCAAGTGCCTTTGCAAGAACAGCATCCATGCGACTTTCAGGCGCTAGTAATGGTCGTAAACATGACCGCAGTACACGAGGATATGGACGAAGTGTATTGGCGATGAAAACCACTTCATTCAAATATGCTGAGATGGTGTCAAGCCAAGCTTGATCGCGGGAAAGCGGAAGACCAACAAAAACTCGTGAGGATACTGCGAGAATCATCTCGTATACAAATGCGTACGTGGATATTGGTGTGTAATCTAGATTTGATAGTAAGACATGTGATGATATTTAGCAAGTATGTTCAAACTAACCTCTCGGATTGCAATGTGATATAGATTTAGCCATCGCAAATGAAAGTTCTGACGCCATATCTGGTATAAATTGAGCTGTGATGAATTTTAGCCTTGATATTTGATTACAGAAGCTTGATTTGTTACACTTACGCAAATTCTGGGTAAGCTGCACTCCGCAAATGTCAGAGTGATGGCGACTCTTTAGAATAACATCTACACCACTAAATCGGCCCAACCATCTCTCTATGAGAGCAGTAGACTGATCGAGCTTTGTTTGTGGTAACATTCTTAGTTCTGCGAGGAACTTATGAGGGAGGATTAGGCGTTCCATATCCTCTGTTTGAACAATGAAGGGCTCATCTTTATACTATGTGGCGTCTGATCAGCTTGTTTTATCCTGGAACGTTTAAATATACAATAAGACCATACCTTATGATATCCTTCGTCCACGATATGGTGTCCGTTAAGTACAAATTCTCTTTTCGCAGCATTGCGGGTAAAGTCCCAGAAGCCTGCTTTCTTGCCAACTCTTGGGATGTCAGGAAACCGTAGTTGGCGAGGTGAGGTCAATACAAGTAAGACCGTGAGAGCAAAAATTCCAGAGAGAAAGAGCGTAAGAGACATGGTTTGCAATACATCAATTTTTCTTTAAGTTGACTGATCGCAGTAGAGAATAGTATCAATTATAGACAAGGTGAGAAAATCGTGTTCTTGGATTTCTGATTTGATAATACAGATAATAGCATTTCATATGAATGTTTCAACCCAAAATAATTTTTGACTTTTATATTCACTATCCAATCTTTTAAATCTTTTAAATCTTTTAAATCTTTTAAATCTTTTAAATCTTTTAAATCTTTTAAATCTTTTAAATCTTTTAAATCTTTTAAATCTTTTAAATCTTTTAAATCTTTTAAATCTTTTAAATCTTTTAAATCTTTTAAATCTTTTACTGATGTTTCTTTTTTTTCATTTCATATGAAACAAGAACTTTATTTGTAATTTTCTTTTAGGATTTTATTAATATTTACTTTTAGTACTAAATTTCTTCTTTAACATTAATTAGAGAATTTCATATTCAATAAACATTCCGAGTTGAAGAATCTATATGAAATACTATAACTGACATTACTCAAGATATCTATATTATGTTTACAGTATATTATCGATCAACCTTGTAGCGTTTTCAAGCGCTATTGGTTATTGATTCAGCTCAGCTTACTGCGTATTCACTCGTCGACATGGACTAAGAGCTAATCAGATCTCAAATAGTGAATGATGAAGTGATCCATTGTTCGAAAATGAGAAGATTTAGCCAATACATATTTCAATGAACTTTCAAAGCTTCTCTGAATTTACATCATCCGTAGCAAATTTAAGAGAAGGCCAAATTTGGCAATTTTCGAGAGAGGCATTCGAAGACGTTGGTACACGAACCGTAAGCTAATAGTTTTGAATTCTGCAGATTCTTATAATGGAGGAATATTTACCTGCAAGCTTGGAGTTAAGAGCTGAACCAAGGTTGTACCGACACTCAGACTTTGTGTCTGCATGAGAAGCATAGTGAAGAGCTGCTCAGTATTTTCTCTCAGCATACGTCTCCATAAACTTGTGTCTATGGCTGTTGAGATATCTGCACCAAGTGCTTTTTGAGCGGAAAAGAGAACAGACATCCGGGACGAACACAGACAACTATAATCCCTCACTTTGACAAGTTCAGAGAGCTGTGCATACTATAGAGCGGTCGCTATTTTGCTCTGCCCATATGCAATTGTGAGAGGGAACCACGAATCAACGGTGGTCCATAGGCTTCGCAGAGTGCTTCGGGGCTTTTATTCCTTGGCAAAGTGCATCCCTCTATGTTGTAGTCTTCGAAACAGAAAAGGGAAAAACGTAACCATTACTACCCATGTTTATGATTCGAGCTCTTTCTTTCGCTGTCAGTCTGTACATGATTAGGCTGGTGAACAAGAAATACCAAGATAAATAAATCTCAAACCATCAATACACGTAGACCCAGTTCAAGCCTTGGGATACCACATTATGTCACTTGTAAAGTCCCATCGACCATCCTATCCAAAGAGAAGACTTGACAAGCCTCGTAGGGGAATATTACCTAGTCACATGATGGTTATACTTACTGATGGCAAGATTTCGGTGCGACTGGGCCATGTTCAATGATTTAAAGGGTAACGAAGAGCAGTTCCAAGAAATACGATACGCTGAGCTTTTGATTCAAAGTGATATCTCAAAGATTACCATGGTTCGGAAGCGATTCGCTATTTGAGCTGCAGGCCCATCTCAAAAATGCAGGGTGTATATGAAAAAAGCATCTAACCAGTTCTTGAGGCAGATAAACCCCTAGATTAAAAACCTGATAATGTCTTTTTCAGGTAAATCGCGATATGATTCAGGCCTAGACGGTTCGAAAGACAGTTAGCTACGTTGTCGCAAAGGCACACTCGGTATGAATAACCCGACAGATGATCCAGATTCGGTTGTGAAAGATCCTCTCCACGTTTCTAAAACAAAGTATGTGTATCCCCTTGAGTTCATAATAGGGTTAGATAAAGAGATCTTTCTTCATAGAAGAATTATCAGCATTTGGAGAAGGTAAAGTGTCTGCGAATCTATAGTACCCAGGCTGCCAGGTATCTAGGTAGGTAGTACCTATTATACAGGTTGAAGCAGGTTGAGACGAAAATAGATTGCTAGTACCAGACCAAATCGAGGTTTCTTTTGTGTTCCTACGATCCCCCTCAACCTCTGTGACCGCCCAAATCCCTCCGCCTACCAAAAGCTTCATCCTAGGTTGACCACACGATGCAAATCTCTCACATCCTCTTTCCCACCTTTTGCATCCCCAACATAAACCCCCAACGCCACTCTCCTGACACATACGACCATAGACTGAAGAGAATTGGGCATCCCGTCCGCTCTGCCATACACAAGCTTCAGATCGGTAGATTAGTAGTTGGGTGGGTGACCACCAGCGAATCCCTACTGTTGTATGTTTTTGTCTTTTTTGATCCCTTCGTGACAGTAGGAGCAGTTTTGATGAGTTTGTGACAAATCTGAGGAGAGGGATGCAGGCAGGAGAGTTTCACGTTTTTTTATCTTTTCTACGTGAAAGACATGATCAGTTGATCCTAGCCCCTAGTTACATGATCAACATTTTGCTCCTATGAATGTGGGCTTCAAACTGGTGCTGCGTTCGAGACGAGTCCAGAGGGGAACACGCAGTTGTTACACAAAGAACGTAAGTAATCGCAGTTATTCAAATCGATTCTGATTCAACGTTGTTGTCGTTAGATGGTGTGTGGATCTGATATAATTAAACTCAATATCTATATAATCTAGTGGAGTTGCGCAGAAGAAGTTACTAGTATCTCAGATACAATAACGGCCGTTCTGACCCGCATGAATCAATGGACAGTCCATCGCACACACTCTTTTCCGTAGAATTCCCATATCCACCAGTTACTTTTAGGTAACTAAACAGCTAGCTCTACCTCTCAAAGAAATGTAGACCATAATATATGGACCATCGCTTCCACGTCCCACATGATGGTGCGGCGACAGAAAGCCACGGTGAGTAATCGGTCTATGTTCAATCTTCTTGCACTTAAATAGATCACACACCATAAAATATTGGTGTGAGCCTGCGTATGGCAAGTGTTTCTTCCCCCTGTATCCCTCTAAACCTGAACAACATAAGAAATGACCTACCGTTTCTTGCCAACAAGCCGAAGAGAAGTTGATGTCATTGAGCTATGCACGAGTAACATCTCCAACGGAAGCTAGGTCGTTTTGGAGCATCAGATGAAGCTTGGCTATTGCTTCTCGAATGGCGAACCGTCACACCTGAATTTAATCCCTCACACGTCGGACCAAATGATGAGCGTTATCCTATGAGGCCCTTCGCTATTCAACATTCGGGATTATGCAGGGCGATGCTGTGAAAATGAACACTACTCATCGACAGGCCACAAGTTGGTATATAAGTACTTGACAACAGGTTAAGAGCTCGAAAGCAGCCTCAGGTCGAAGTAAAGAGACGTCAAAAGACGCAAAATGTGTGAACACACAATACCAGTCCAGCGCATTGAAAGCATAGGAGCGAATAGAAAAGTGTAGGCCAATTGCTATTCGGACGGAATGAGAGCCAAGTGACACGAAGAAACAGTCTCAGAGCCCAATTTAATGTCCGGTGGGATATCGAAAGGTCAAGTGTTTGCCTGAACTGAAAATGTATCGTTTGTCGCAGAAGATAAGGAGATAGGAAAGAAAGGAGAAGTTATTATATTGTATAATTGTGTACTTTAATACGGGAAGTATAGAGTGTTTCCCCAAACGCCATGAAATGCATGTTCGCCGTTCGTTTGTAGTCATTGACCCAACTCCCTTTATGATCGTGAAAACAGTGCGAGCGTATCCTGCTACACCGCAATTATATATCCACTATTTTCTAGGTGGCGATTTGCCCCAGAACTGCTCTTTGATTTCGTCCTTGAAGTATTTAACGAATCGACTGTTCTTTTCAGGGTCGTCGATATTGGTACCCCCCATTTCGGAGGGGTCTTTACCATGACGAACTTCGTGAACTCTTTTGTGAACGTTGCGGACTGCACTGTGAAAAGTCGGACTTCTTAGGAGCTGGGTACATGTTAACAATAGGGACTCGATATCGATGCATGTGGAATACGAACTCGTGCGACTGCCCACGCCTGAATTAATTGTTAGCAAGAATAGTAAAACTGCCATGCTTTGAAGGGCATTTTTACCTCAAAGGCTGCTAACCATAATGGCATATTTGTTAGACTCGAATTATCATGATCAATTCTACACCAGGTAGAAATGTTGAGTAAAAATCTATGATGAGAGTTGAAGGCGAAAATCTTTCACCAAGTCAACTCGGCTAATAAGACAGCAGTTGATTAGTCAACAATTAGTCATTGAAATGCCAATTGAAACATGACCTACCTACACGTGGTTACCACGCTTGCCTCGTCTCCAGCTCGGATTTCCTACCACAATTGCTCTTTCCTCATACACCATTGTCCTATGTAGATCAGCCACCTTCCTGCTCAATATGGTGAGTTGCTGCATGTCGGTGAAAACAAATGTTTTGTAAGTTCATGTTTCTCTTCCTTTTCTTCTTCTTCCATTCTCACCCTTTCTTTGCATACACACATCACATCAACTTATCAAGGATTTTGGTATTCTTCTTTCCTACAACTGGCATTATTCTCTTTGCTGAACTATCTTTTTTCTACATCATTGTTCTCTGCATTACTGTCCAAGCCTCCCCCGTTCGTGAGAAGAATCTTTTCAGTTCAGCACTCTACATCAATCTCTTTGCCTAGAGGCATAACAACCTACCTTTCTCTATCCTGAAGACTTCTTATAACTCATTCAAGTCATATTCACTGTGAAAATATCTTTCATTGTTTATTTATATGCCTCATCGGACGCCCATTGGTGTCACTATTTCCATTCAAAATCGTATCCGTTCCTTCCGTTCTAAATCATCGAGTGCCTCAACAATCATTTCTTCTTCGCGTCAAAAAGATCCAAACGATACCATAAGCCGCAAGTTTATCTTCAGAATGACTCACCCCTGTTCATCAAAACGAGACTCTGCTATCAATCTGTCTAAGGAGAGTCTCCTTGATTACCATGATGGTGCTTTTATGCCTCAAGGAGATGGATGCTCTTCTAGCAAGGCAGCAAATGATGAAGAGGAACGCGCCGTACAAGTAGTCGAAGCAGGACTCGCTGCAGCAAGCGACCCAAAGACAGCAATGCCATCATTCTTGAAGATTTCACATGATGGTATGCAACTCACTCAACACTCATTCAGAAAGCAGATACTGACTCGACACTAGAAATGAAGGAAAAATATGCTCTATTGACGAAAGCAGAAGAAGATCGTTTGGCTAGCAAAGATGATCCCAAGTGGGCGAGAGAAGAACCGGATCGTGAACTCGATCGTTACGCCAACGTACATCCATGGGCTGCCAACCGTATCAGACTTATCGTCCCCGAAGGTTATAACGATTACATTAACGCATCCCCTGTTACTTTGACATCTACTGCAGAGAAGCAAAGTACGATGAAGAAAGGTCTTCAAGATAAGTACATTTGTATGCAAGGTCCGAAGTCTCAAACTGTCGATCATACCTGGCATATGATGTGGCATTCAATCTCGGTACCAGATAATGCAGCACCTGGTGTCATCATCATGCTTAGTCCTCTTGTCGGACCCAATCCTGCCAAGCCTGACGAGATGATGGAGAAATGTTATCAATACTATCCTATGAGTGAAGAGGATCCACCTCTTATTGTCAACGAAACAGGAGCTCTAGGAGAAAACTTTAAGGCCCAGGTTCGATTTGTGAAGAGAGAAGATAACATTGAGGGTACTGGTATCGAGGTTCGTAAGCTCGCCATGTCTGTGGAGAATGAAGACGAAGAGAAAATCATCTGGCATTTCTTCTACCCTCTCTGGCCTGACATGGGTTCGTTGAACAGTCAAAATGTTAAGAGTGTTCTGACATTGATGGATCTTTCTCGAGCGAAGAATGTAGAGGAAGAGAATCCAAGAGTTGTACATTGCAGTGCTGGTGTTGGAAGAACTGGTACTTTCGTGGCTTTGGAGTTTTTGATGGGAGAACTTCAAGGTGGAGCTTGGGAAGGGTGGGATCAGTCAGAAGAGAAAGGTAACGATGCCATCTTTGAGACGGTCGATCAATTGCGCCAACAAAGAAAGACTATGGTACAAGCTGTGGAGCAATATATTTTCTTGTATGAAGTGTTGAGGAAACAGTGGGAAGAAAAGTATAGGTTACCATGTATCGGTGGCGAACATACTCACGATTCTCCTCCTGAAGAGGGAAAAAATCCTGTCTTCAGAGCCATCCCAGGGACTAAATAGCTTAACGAGGGAAGTCTATTGGCATTCGGTAGATGGAGAGGGTTTGGAGATGAATTTGTGCTATTTCTAGCTCTTTCTACTTGGTGTTGTGTTTGGAGACAATTAGGGGGTGGTTAATGGGAGGTAAGAAGAGAGAATATCCCTGTAATAAGCTAGAACAAGACACCACTGAACCTAGAATTGAACTTCTCTTTCTATCGGTATTACGTTTGTTTTCTACTTGTGGCGAGCGGGCAAAAGTATGTCTTGTCGAAAGTCCAGCACTTCTTTAGGTCTTAGTGAAGCAATAGTGATGTGAGACATGATAGCGAGATGGCAAATTGTGAGATGAATTCTCGTTGATACAGGTATGATAAATAGCGAGTCTACTGTTTGGCTTATTGCTTGCTCATCTGTAAGTCGGGTCCTGGGACTATCGATGTACTTAATATATGCTGACTCTGCTGAGGTGCGAACGTGATAATTTTAGGGGTTGAGAATGGGGCGTTGAAATTGGGGTGGGCTTGAGACAAATTTGACAATTTGGGGGCACGGAGTATGAAATGGTCAAACTAGACGGAAACAAGAGATCTTAGTGAGATATGATGTTGAGATTTTCAATGGGCAAGAAAGAGGGGTGTTGGCGAATAGGAGTGGTGAGATTCAAGGACTTAGCCTCTTAAATCTGTAGTGGTGAATGAATGGTATTTGTGGAAATAATTGTGTTAGAAGAATTTTGGATAAGGATATACAAGGTGAGTAGGGAGAGGGCGCACTTTATTTTCATTGTAGCAGAAGGATGAACGTACGTTGTTATGGAAGGAATCGCATTGTTGGTCATGTTGATCCTGGGGAAGTTCTATAAGTATGTAGGTTCGAAGCAATTTTTGCTTAGGAAAGTTGAGGATCAGGTGAAGGAATAGGGGAAAATTTAAAGTGTGGTGTATGTAGGATGGCGGTTGTTATTGTCGTTATTGTCGTTATTGATATCAGGCCATGAATGAGGGTGCGAGTATTGTCTTTCTCGTTTTTTCTCGTCGTTTTATACTCAGCGGGGGCTTATACCATCTATTTGACAACAATAAAGCTTGACGTCTCGAATGTCAGAATGAAAGTTAAAGAGGGGTCTCAGTAACTTGGTTTTTGGAAATTCATAGGCTCGTACTTGACGGTATGGAAGTCACTGGAAGTTTGCAACCTAGTCAATGTTGATTGTAACGAACATTGTTCGTTGATTTACACAGTTCTGATTGAGGGAATGTCAGACTTTATAGCTGGATGTAAAGATGGAGAGGGGGATAGAAGTTGGTGGAGAGAAATGGTTGGCTTAGGAATTGGGTGGGGAAAAAACGTATGGGCGTGTATACCGGGAGTGTTGTAGGCGATGGAAGGAGGAAGTGTAAATGTGAAATGGGAAGGAGAATATTGAGTGGTTAGAAAGGAACTCGACGTGAACCCTGTTTTTCTTTTTGTAGATTGGTACTTTCTACTGGGACTCGAATTGAGGGGGTACTTGAAAGCCACTGAATGAAGAAAAATCAAGTACGGTTGAATTTGATTTGGGGGTTTAGAAAAGGGTTTTGGGATAGTCTATGTAAGTATGAGATGTGAGTGAACACTTATCGTTGTCGTTATCTGATGATAGGTGAGCGTCATCTTTCACAGTGAGCCACTGCCACTTAATGAAGTTTTTAAATGGATAATGGTCTGTCGCGGTAACAATAATCGGCATAGAAGTTGAGAAATATACACTGAAATTTAACTTGTATTTATGGACTCAAACTTTAGACTGCGCCATAGAAGTTGTTTCATAATACCTGGATATTATCCTCATATCTTCTATACTCAAAGGAATTGGGGTCCGATGGACTGGCGGTCTTTATAGATGCGGATGGGTCTGGAAGTTTGAGTTCTATGGGTTGCAGATTGGGAAAGGGGTGAATGTATGTTGTTTTCGCCTTGGTGATGGGTGCCGTCTTCACAATGGGTTTCAAGTGGTTGTGAATAATCTGTATGACTATTACAAATTCAGAATTACGAGAGCTATATGCAACACGGGTCTTGCCCCCAGCGGGGCCACGTGTGCATATTCAATCATATCGCAACAGTCCAGTGCTACTGCTGCTTCTTTTTGAGCTATAGTGTATGGAAAGTGAAAGGATAAGAAAGTGTTTAAGTGACTGTAAGATAGTTCCTACTGGATGGTGTATATCCTTTTTGAAAACAACTTGGAGATCAGTGAGAAGGATTGTCTAAGTTCACCCACAGGAGTAATTAGAATCAAACAAATTTTGAAGGATTTGATTCCTTGGCGAGTGGCACATCGTTTGAAATTTGAGGAGATGCAATTATTATTGTTGTCGATGTTATGAGTTTATCATTGTCATCTATGATGGATGTATATTATTTGGATGGCAACCGTAAACCTACCGATCTAGTCAGGAAGCCTGGGACATGTACATTGAATCGATATCAAAGCCATTGTTGATGATAGCATTTGTGTGTAATGAGATTTTGAGTGAAGAATACTCTCGTTCATTCTTGCTCAATGATAAGTACGTCCAAAAGTTATAGAAACGCCATCAGAAAATTGGTAGACTTTATAAATTGTGGGTGGGACTTCGACGTCAAAAGAGGTAAGGCGATAAAAGGGTAGATCAAGAGAGATACCGATGGATCGGCTTGAAATTCGGGGTGAAGAAGGTAGAAAAGCGAGAGAGGGTCAATGGGCTAGCTATAAAAGATTCCCTGAGAGACAATGCTACAATCTCCAAACCAAAGTCACGCGCGTCTTAAGACAAACCTAGGGAGATGTGAGTATCTGGAAAACCCAGAGGGATATGATCTGACGTGTTTAAAGATTGGGTAATATGGATTGCGATTCTGGTGATCTAGCCAGAATTGCCAGGGAATCTTAAAGTGCGATGACACCAATGATTACTGTTGTCATTGAGGATAAGAAAGTTGACCATAGCGAGTGTTGTTGTACTGCCATTCTGTCACTATCTATCAACATTGAGGAAAGTTGACGGTAAGAATCTAGAATGATAACACCAAGGCCCGAAGTCCATACATCATCGACCAGGATAAAGGTAAATTTCTGGTAAGAATTCTGGGCTCAAACCACCGTCACTTGTATGATCTTGTTCTTCCAAGTACACAGTTCCATGGAAGTCAAATACAAATTTTGAGGAATCACTTATATATGTTTAGTGAAATGTTATTATCTTTTAGAGTCAGAGATATGTGGTCCTGGTGGCGGGACATTAAGCTATGGCGGGTAGTGGATAGGTCAGTAGAGCCTTTTGCGGATAAGACTAGAGTCCAGGCAGATGGAATGAAGTGAGAATCAGGGGGAGGAGGGGATGGGTATAAAATTGATGTTGGCAGATGGTGCTTTTTCTTGTCAAAATCATCGGAAGCGTTCTACTAGGAGACGACAGGAAAGATTCAGCAAGGGATCTATCGATTGCTGAGAGCAACAATATCATGAGATCATTCTGTTCGATTCGCTTGAAGCTTGAAAGGCCGATGAAAAGGGTAAGTTGTATCCTATGAAAGCACAAGCTTTTACTGCCTGGAATTATCACCGTCACATATACAAAGCGATGAATATGTATCGAAGATGACGATAATTATTCTCGAGAATTTCTCATAGACTAATCACATTTCTTATAAAGAATCTGACATTATAGTTGCGGAATCAATTTCTCTTTGTGGTGGGTATTTCCGAAGATCCTAGAAACACCGCAGACCTTGCCGGTATTATGATTTGCTTAGACCTCAGATGAATCTTGGTCTGCTTTTAAGGATCATCCAGAATTTATGGGCTTGGTTAAGACAGTAAATGGAGAGGTACCTTCAACTTATGTTGATGTGGCCGACTTTGTGGAGTAGGTTCTTGATAGAGACCATTCTTTCTTCCTCATGCCAATATTACCCGTTTAAGAACCGAGAAGGAATGGAAGCAAGTGAACACAGCGACTAGAGATTTAAAAAAAATTTGTATCAAACGTATATACCTTTAACGCTGTAAATTGGACTCGAGACTCGGGCATCGACAGATTCGTATCTCAATATTTATTGTCGTTTTTCTGTTCCATCACCGTTACTTCTGGACGCTTGAGCAGCTGATACTGGGATGCCACTATTGAGATTAACATTCCAATAAATATGTTATAAACAACGATATCTCAATAGATCCACTAGATTGAGATTCGCAGAGGACGTGCTGCAAGACTATCAAAAACGCATGTGGCTTCTTGAGAACGGCATTTGCAGAACTTACACGAGTATGATTAGTAAGCTAGAGAACTTTATATATCCTAGATACAGCAGAAGAACTGAGGAATTGTCAAGAAATAGAGTGTTGAGATGGTGACTTTTTGATGATTTTGTGATCAGGACTTGGCAGAAAAGACATGAGAGCAGTACGATGGGAATATAAAGGACCTCCTGATGTGCACTTCCTGAACTTCTTCTGTATCGGGCCTGCGAAGAAATAAGCTAGGTCGGAAGAAGATTGCTTCGGGAGCGGACAAGACAAGTTGAAGTAGACTTCCTGCTTCTCCCCAGATTCATGGTGAAATTTCCGCGGATCTCCTGGTGGCTATTTGTACAAAAGAGAGGGAAGCGTTGTCTTTCTTTTGGGCCTACCACTGCCGCTCAACCTACAAAATGGTGAACTTCAGATGACTGTAATCGTATTGGATAATCTTAACATGGTATGAGAAGATACATGAAGCATCTGACGATTGTGCATCTGCTGTGAATGGTGGAGGGAGAGAGGAAGAGAACACTCCTTGTGCCATCTTTACTTCGTCTGCATATTTACATATTCTCCTGTTCTCAGAAACAAGAACTATGGATTTTATTTCGTTTGGATGATACTTGCCGCTCATACTTCATGGAATGGTGAATTAAACTATAATATGATTCAGTAGAGCACCTAAGTGTTGAATTCAACCAGTATAAGATTAGGGGGACTTGGGAGGGGCAAAGAGGAGTATTATGGCCGGTGATTGAAATTGTATATTTCGGGATATCTTGTAGATGTTCATGAGATTGAATAATCATTCACAGGGACGAAATCAGAGAGAAGGTAGTGTGTGAAGTTGAAGGGTCGAATATAAAATAGTACCGGAATAGAGATCCTCTCTTCTCTTCATACTCTGATATCCCGGAATAAAGAAGGAAAAAGGTGATAACATGAGATAAGTAGCTGCTATCGATGTGATTGGTTAGTATCCCAGTAAAATACACACTTGCATATGCATAAGAACCATAATGTTCAGGAGTCTGAACAAGATTATTGTCATTAATTACTTTGCTGATGTTTGCCATATCGACAGCGATTTGAGAACATAAGA